TTTGGCGAAAATCCTACTAAAACCACACGTTTGAGGCCCTGAAGTGAGGAGAAGCATGGCGTCAATTGTGGCACCGTCGGGTAGTAGTAATAGTAGTAGTAGTAGTAGTAGTAGTAGTAGTAGTGATAGTGGCAGTGGTGCTGGTGGTGGTAGTAGTAGTAGCAGCAGCAGCAGTAGGAGGAGGATGAGGCAGTGGTACGGCTTCGTCGTGGTGGTGGTGGTGGTTTTTGTGATATTCCCAACAGATACAAAAGCCGGTGTCGGCAGCTGCGCATGTCGGGGTCATCGTTGTTGTCCTTGCTCCTGCTGCTGTTGCTGCTGCTTCCGTCACTGCTGTTGTGGTCGTGGCTGTTGCATTGTCACTATCATCGCTAGACCCAGACCGATGAAGCACGCCGAACCTGCAATCCTCAACCCTCGGAGAGGCGGTCTGCGACCTCGACGCCTTCAAGAAGAAGAGTGGCGACCTACTAAGGCTCCAGCAGTGTGTGTCTCTAGGACTCCAGGATTCGGGTCGTAGGCTTAGGTCGAGACGTGATGACCAATACGACTCAGCAGGTCAAGTCTGGACATCCGAGCCCACTGCAAGGCAAAAAAAAAGTGCCACACCATGAAGGGACGTGGGACGTCCCAGAAATCAAACCCTCAACCCTAAACGGTTAAGTCCGAACCCTAAACCCGAAACCGTAACTCGGGACCCCAAACTCTAAGCCACACGGTCTCCCAAACTGCTTAACCCAAAAAGAAGAGAAGAGCAAGCCTTGAAGTGCTTAATTGCTTAGTTCCTGAAGTCAAAGCCCTTTGCGATGCTCTTTGTCCTTTTTTTTTGCCTAAAAGGTACCTTCGAGGCTCCACGAAGGATCCGAATGGCCCGGGGCGTATTTGGACGGCTGGCGAGGCGGAGTACGACTACAGGACCGCACTGTGCTGTACAATACAAGATGCTGAGCATTCAAGTTTGACACGCCGCGAGGGTTGGGGATTGTGTGAACCAGCGCAGTTATGGGTGGCTTCCTAAAGCTTGCAGGAATAAGCGCACGGCCAATGGCGGAGTCATGGTACCGCAAGCTTGGCTGCAGTCGGCCATGTGCATATGTACTTGAGGCCCCAAACTAATCTCGAGCTTCTACAGCCCCAAAGCTCGTCATGATACACGATGTCGTCGATGTGTAGTGTTCGGGCCGACGCTTGCCCACAGATGGATAGAGTATGCAAACGTATTTGTGCACATGCATGCCTGGATGCCGTCATGATATTCTGGGTGAGCTTTGCTCTCTGAGGCCGGCATTGCTGAAAGACATGAAGTCTCTGAGAGAATACCTACCTGGATTGCAGGAAAAGTATCCCAAGTTTTGTTTTGAGGAGTGAGCAACCATGTGATCACTCGCTGTGCAGGGCAAAAACCCGTGCAATAGCTGAGTTGACGGTTCACGGGTACGACCTCGAAAGTAGGAAGTAGGGTTGTGACCGTCCTAATTGGGGAGTCTGAAGAATGCCCGTCAATAAACCTACCCATGAACCTTCCAGTGCACTCTCTGAGGAGTCCTCCGAATTAATCTGATCTATCATCCGCCTGACATGGAGCTTCCGGTATCGCTAGATTCCCAAGCTACTTCCACTTGACTCCAGACTGTGCTTCTACTCCCAAGCAGCAGAGCAGGGTGCATCTGCCAATGGATGATCTGTTTCTGCTGCGCCTTCTTCAATATATTTTTGACCCGGGGAATTCAGGCGGCTTCTAAAACCACAGCTCGTTTAATGCCGCCATCCAAACCGAGATCGCAAGGCCCCAAAGGCATTAGATTGAATGCTCATGCGCTGCCCCTCACATGAAGGGTGCCTTTGCATCATTGAAGCGAGGAGCTGTCGCGTAGGTTGCAGGCGCTGTCTTGCAATGCGGCTGTGCTCGCTGACGGCCTACCGTGGAAAGTGATGTTTCACGGGTTTCTGGCAGGCACCATCACAGTGCCTATTCACTTCGTTCCAGTATCCAGACCGCAGAGTTCCGTTTCGTGGGCAGATGGGCTGATCTCCGCGCTGTTTCGTCTCTTGCTGAAGAAGATAAAAAGTCAGACCTGGTCTTAACTCCCAGAGCAATAGACTCCATGTTACGAAAGCCATTTGCTACATTACGAAGAGGCACAGAAAGCCAGGGGACGAGAGCGAGCTGGATTGTTGACACAGACGAATTAAGCCCCAAGTTCGGTTTCTGAAAATAGGGAATCTTAATATAAAGCCCAACAGCAGTGAGATCTCCATTATCAGGACGAAGTGAGAACAGCGGAACGCTTTCATACCCACAGTAGATGCAGGGGGATTTTGGTTGTACCAGGCTTCTTGAACGTCGCTTCTAGCGGTCAATGTTCGGCTTACTAGCCTTCTTCAGCGCAGATTCCTGCCGTCCTGCATCGCTTTCTGGCCTCAAGCCTACTCTAATCTCCATTTGAAAGTGTTTGCTAGCATGATGGTGCTGCGGTCCTCGACTCAGTCTCTGCAGGGCTTGCTGGGAGGTGGGCCATGCAGTCAGCCGCCCCCGAAACCCACATGAGGTTGCTTCTCGCCGTGGCCGGCTTCTCAGTCGGGTTTGCAGGAAAGCCAGGGGCCACCACGACCCAATGATTGCCACATGATGCGACAAGTATGCACAGACAGGGTCGCTGCATGTTTTGGCGGCAGGGTCGGTGATTTCTGCCCTGGTGTATCTTGAGCTTGAAGTTCTGGGCTCCGAGGTGCATGGTGCACTCCTGCGTGCCGCAGCGAATGAGGCCTCCTCTTCACAAATCCTGGCGCTTGCTCGGGTGACTTTTCAAAGCCTCCGCCAGTGCTTGCCCGAACCCAGAAGCTAGCCGATGAGCACGACTGAGTACGAGCCTAGAAGCGACGAGCATACACCAACAGCCAAAATACGCTCTCAGCGAGGCCGCTGGCTCCTGCCCCTCCGACAAGAAGGAGGATGGGAACCCTGACTAGACCTCCAAATCCGAATTCAAAATACGCAAACCCCAAATCCCCAACCCCACACACTGAGCTTCGTCGGAAGCGGGGCATTTAGGATAGAGGGAGACATCATGATGACTGTCTAGGGTTTTAGGGTTTCATTTTTTGTTGTTGTGGTTAGCACGAGTTGCGGATTCAGTGAGCAGGGGGCAGTTGCTGTCTTTCTCTATTCATTCGTGCAGTTGCACTGTACTCACGACTTCAAGATTGGGGTGCCCAAATGCTAAACCCTGAACCCCGAACCCTAAAGCTGAATCCGAAACCGCTAAACCCCGAACCCTGAATGCCAAACCCTCGGTGCGAACCGAGTATGGACCCTGTGACACCTGTCTCGAAGGGGCTCCCTCAAGCATGAACAGACTTAATATCGTCAGCGTCTTACTCTTAAAGCTCCGCCCCATGAACCCTTAACCCCAAGCAGTGAGCCCAAAGCAGTAAGTGACCCTGGGCATCCTAGTGCTGAGGATTCATCCCCACTTTCAGCTCCAAGCCCAAGATAGACTGACACTAAGAGGCATGCAAAGATGAATCGCTAAGTGCAGCAGCACAAGAGGGTCACGTGACGCATCAACGATCTGCAGCACTGCTAATGCTCATAAATAAGTAGCAACATTAATTCGAGTTTTGATTGTGCTGGTCGCCAGAGTGGTAGTGATCATCAAACCACGACAATGATGCCCTCGTCGTTGTTGTGGAGGTCTTTGTGTTTTGGCTGCGCTTGTGGTGGTTATTGTTGGCAAGATCAACCTGAATTTCAAGTATGATTTTGTGCATCCTGACTGAATGCCAGAACCGCCGCAACAGGATGCCTTCCACCCAAACGTCCGCAGGATCTATCTTCGTCCTCCCTGGCGGACCTCATCATCGCAGAGGAAGTCGACTCAGGGTTTGGAGTTCACAGTCGGCAGCATGCAGGGCCGCGGTATAGTTTCAGCGTGCAGCTGCAGTTTAGCAGGATTCGGGCAACTGCAGAGGTCTGTGCATCTGTTGGTCTTTTCTTTGAACATCATCGTATCACATCCCTCGTTTGGACATGTGGAGGCTCAAGCAAAGTCTTCTGTCGCTTGTCAACATTCGCCCCTCCGAAGCCATGCTGTTCCGGCTTCTCTTGGTGTTCATGGGCCTCTGTGCTGCTGTCCGCGAGGCATGGAGCTTGATCAACAGACTTTAATCCCCTGTTCAAGGCAAATTCCCCCGGGAAGGTTCGCGCAAGACAGATGGAAGATGTAGCGGATAAGACGTGTGCGGTAGGAGACAGTTGTAAGGAAAGCATGACAGGTGACTCACGAGATGACCAGTGATGTGACCAACGAGGTGACCAACGAGGTGACCAAATGGCCATGGACCAACGACAGGTTCACCAAAGAGAGGTTCTCTGTGCCACAAGACACAAAGAAGAAAGAGCGGTGGTGCTCCTATGCGAACGCGCGTGAAAAAAGCATTGCAGCGCAGCTTTGCAGCAGCAGTTGGGCCCGGTCGCTCAAGGCAACCTCGTAAGGATAGCTTCTACAGTAGACTGCATCACTTCAAACTACAGGGTCCAGTTCAGACTCGGCTGCATACAGAAGGGGCCAGGTCGCTGAACCACCCAGTGCCGGATTCTCGCCTTAATGAGCATCCGTTGCCAAGAGGCTTCCAACCCGAGAAAGACCCTACTCTTTCTATCCAGAAGGGTTTTGCTGCGAAGTTGTGCAGGACGAAGGTGAGCTTCCTTTGCATCTTCTGCAGAGACGGCAGATGCGAAGAGTCAAGGAACGTCCGTGGCCGAATGTAGCACACCACAGACCATTCACTTTGGAAGGCGTCGGTCTTAGTCTTAAGGCGCCCTTTCGGGCGGCGTGTTCTGTCTTGTGTCCATGTGCCGAAGACCTGGGGCCAATTTCGGAGCTTACTCCGAGGGTTGCCGGCCCTTTTCCCTCGCGGTTTCTCCCCAAATCTGGGCGAGTGAGGTGGGCTTCATGGGATTTAGTTGTGTCGCGTAGACACACTGAACCCTTGGTTCTCGAAGTCTGGCTTTTTCTCCTTTTCGCTCTCTGCAGGAATACCGCGAGGCGATGAGGGCCAGTGCTGCGGAGGCGCTTATTCTAGGTTCAGGGTTTTATCGGGTTCGAGGGTTTCTAGTGCGTCAGCTCTAGGGGCTGCAGGATTCGTAGGTAGCTCGAGTTTGGGGTGTTTTTTTAGGGCGTAGGGGCATGTGGCCCAGGGTCTAGCCGGATGAAGACTAAGCTTGCTCATGACTGCCCTGCACCCCTTAGAACCACCCAATAGTTGTCAGCTAAGCTCTAAATTCCTTCAGCCCTAAACCTTGAACCCTAAATTCTGTCAACCCTAAACCGGGGGAGAAACCCTAAACCCTAAACCCCTATAACCCTAAATTCTGTCAACCCTAAACTGGGCGACGGGAGGAGCCCCAAAGTTTCTTCGGGCCCCGAACCGCCCCGTAGGAGTCGTCCAAAGCTCGCTGGCCTCCGCCACCCTTTGACTTCGAGGACTATCTCCGTTTAGGGTTTAGGGTTTAGGGTATTGAAGCAGCAGTAGCAGCTAAGAAGGCAGGTGTCAGAAGAGTTGGAAATTCATGGTACCAGTAGAAGAGCAGTCAGAAGTTTGTTGGCGCCATGCAGTAGGAGCAAAGCTTGCAATGCTAGAAGTGTGGGGGGAATGAGAACTTCTTCGTTGCTGTTTGCTTTGTGGAGGACTCCTAATCGATTGCTGCTTGTTCAGGAATGATAGAAGCAGATCGCAGTGGCACTATGTCTACGAGGGCTGTTTATCGGGAATCTGGAAGCGCTTCCTTGGATTGGGCAGTTCCACACCTACGGCAACCATACATGAAACCTGGCTTCCACATTTGTTCGTTCTTTCATTAGGACACTTTGGGCCGGACGCATGCGATCGACGTGTGCAGATGGTCCGTTCCTAGGCCAGAACCTGAAGCCATAAACCATGAACGTCGTGAACACTAGACTCCTGTACTCCTCCCCACCTTCAGCATCTCGTTTGGGCCGCCGCCGTGCGAGGACCCCGGTGCCAAGTACAGTGCCTCGGTGCCACCTTTGCTCTCTCAAAGCTTTGGCCGCCGGCCGAACCCCCTCCAATCTCAAACTGGGCACTGAGGTGCTTTCATCGAGGATAATGAAGAGAGCAGACCACCGCCCCTAACGCCGACCCTCGGCTGCAGAATCTTTCTCTGCGAAGCAACTCTCCTTGCTTTCCGATACTTGCAACTGGGGCAAGCTCGACCTTAAAGCCTCAACACCCTGAACCATAAAGCCCTAAACCCCTGTTCAGGCCCTATAGCTTGAGTTCGTGCCTTTTTCATATGTAAATCTAGTGATGGCTTGTGCAGGAACTTGTTCATACTTTGACCGTCGCTGTTACTCCTCGAAGGGCCCTTGAGCTAGAGGTACAAAAAGTAGTGTCCGGAGCGCCATTGAATGCTAAGGGGCTATCTGCTAGAGCAGCCCTAGGAGCAGCAATCATTTAGGTTCGGATTTCGCTTGTGACTCTCAAACCACGATCAAGAGCAAGCTGAAAGCTCCACATGCAGACCTATTGGTTCAATGTCAAGCCCAGCTTTAGACTCAACTTGTTTTTTGCTTTTTGGGGCCCTCATCTTGATCCAGCAAATTTGCAGCCTGGAGCGAATCTTGTTTGGGCAGACCTTTCAAACAAACGCACCGATCACAATGCGACTTCAATCACGCGTTGTCGAAGCTTGCGACTTGGTGACATCAACACTCGGCTTGATAGTCGTTCGTACCGGATCCAGAGGCATCTCATCCCCATCCCGCGTGCAGAGTATTTTGGACGCTGATGGGACCTTACGAGCGAGACCTCCCACCACGATTGGATTTCTGGAGCATCTAGGTACGACCCACGATTGGCATAGGTGGTGCCTCATTTGCCGTCAGATCGATTGTAGATTTTGTGGTTTACGGCTCACGACATCCATGGACCCCAGCATGCAACGCTGCCCCACGAACATGATGCATGATGGATCTGATTTCTGTAGGTGTTCATTGTACGCACTCCTTTAGCTTTGAGCGGACAGACCCGGGATGGTGTTGTAGCTGCCGGCTAGCTCTCAAGATGCACTCCGGCAAAGCAGCGTGGCGTCGTGCAGCGAAGGGATGCAAGGCTTTCACTGAGAGTGAGAGGATATTTTTTCACTTGTTTGGCCATGTTGCGACGACAGCAGCCCCCCCGTGAAACTGCCCAAGCCTCACCCCCCTTGGCTCGAAAAGTCACCGACCACGCGTTTCCGCTTCTCCCTACACCCATTGCGTCGTCGTCATTGGGTCATCCTCCAAGGATGGTGGTCAAGGCCAAGCCCACGAGGAGGCGTTCCCTGGACCTCCATTTCAACGCAGCCACCGGGCTGGCACTGGGAGGTTCAGGCGTATTGAGAAGCGCACTGGTCTTGTCAGGGCTGCAATTATGGACCCTTGCTGTTACGGAGATATCAAGCCCATTGGTTCTTGGTCACATGTCTGTATCAACTGCCAGGGGAGAGGCTCAAACTGCTACCGGCTAACGTAGACGTAGAGCCACCTTCGACAGACAACATATTATGTGGATCATCTCATGCACCAGGCAAGAATTCCCGAGTTTTTAGTAAATCCCATCGAGCCTGAGAATCCTTCAGGTGATGGCTAGCTGCGGCTCGAAGATCAGTGATCCGAGTCGCTGCACGAAGGCAGGTTTCTTTTCCATGAGACGGTCTTGGTCGGAGCTGTTCTGAGATGTAGTTGACGGCGCACAGTAAAGTGGGCGCGGAGAATTTCAGGTGTGAGCACCCTTTCATGCTGCTGCGAGCATTTCTACCACCGCATGACGGTTGGCTCAAGTGCAGTCTGCTTGTTGTTTGTCAAGATTGCTCGCTTCCAAAGCCATGTTGTTCCGGATCCTGTTCATGCTCGTGGGCATCTGTGCTGCTGTCCGCCAGTCCCAGGCATGGAACTTCATAACTTAAGAGCAGATAGACAAGCAGGAGCCTTCGACCCTCGCCCTCAAGGTGAATTCCCCAAGAAAGTTCGCATGAGGGACAGCTCCTCCTCGTCGGCGGAGTCTTTCAGCTTCTCGTGCTGTGCGGACTGCCTTAGTCCCTTGCACTCTGCACCGGACCTCCTAAATCCCTGTGCAAAACCGTGAAATCACTAAACCTCTCTTCAAAAGCACCGGACAATCGTCCAAAAAACGTGCACACCGGAATCTCTCAAAAGCATTCTCGATGCCCTGTCAAGAAGCTGCAAAACCATCCAAGCCCCCCCAAGCTACCTCTGTTGACCTCCGAAGCCCGTAACACCTGTTTACAATCAGTCACCCCCTCTTGAACCCCTTAAGGCCTCAAGACCCCACACAGCTCGAAGACCTAGTCTTGTGGTTGCAGGGTTCAAGCTTCTTTTGGGCTTCGTAGGCTGCTGACCGGAGTTTCTTCTCGTTGGCCTTGGGGCTCAGGCCCCAAGGCCGAATCTCAACGCCCCGAATTGTCCAAACCCCCAGAGGGGGCTGTGGAGCGGGTCATAGCGGGAAGCATCGAAGCAGGTCGACAAGCAGGTCGAGAAGGTGACCGACGAGACCAACGAAGAGTGGGGTGCTGACTATGCAAAGGTGTGGCGGTGCTACTGTAACCAACGTCCGTTTGCGATCTTCGAAAGTGAGAGCCGTTGCATAAGACTTTGTACCTACAACTGCAAAAACAGCGGTGCTTACGGTGCATACCCAGCTGGAACGTGTTCTCGCGAATCCAAGCGGTGACCGTCTGCGGAGACCGTAGCTTCCTCTACCACTTTGGCTCCCGGCGAGACGCGTGAAAAGAACCGCAGCGAATCTCTGCGACACCCGGTAACTTCAGTCCAACTTGGCCACCCAAGCCTGTTTGGTTGCTAGACTACCAGACGACACTGTCGACCTCATCACCTTAAGCTACAGAATCATTCCAGTCACTGGAAGGACTCTCACAAAGGACCGTGTTCCCGAACTCTTGCTTGGTAGCTCAAAACGTGCACGGACGGAGAGGATTTATTGAGCTAGAGTCGGGAACTCATCAGCCGATTCAGGTTTTGGAGTTCAGGGTGTGAAGTCTGCAGCCTTCGGGTTTAGAGGGTTTGGGTTCTTGGTCTAGCTGCAGCTCCTACCGCAGGTATCGAGGTTTGATTCTGATTGCCGCTGGTGGCTAGCATGTCTATTAGCTTCAAACAGCTTCCACTCTGTGTAGTTTTTGGATGTTTTTGGTGCATGATCATGCACTCTTCGTTTGGGGTGTTCATGTTTCGGGGCCCTGCAAGCGATGGCAAGGCAGTGGAGCAGTCTTCAAAGAAAGTCTTCCTCCAGCTGCACTTCCAGGTCGGACACGTCGCGCACGCTGGCCCTTGGCCTTTGTCGTTCCCGCGTATAACACGGTGTGCAATCTGCAGGCAAGAATGGACGAGACCGTCCCGCCTTTGACCACGAAGGACCCATGAGAGCGAGCAGCGGGACTCCATCTTTTTGGCCATTGATGAACTAGAGTAGCCTTAGGCCCTTTAATCTTGCGTCGATCCACGTTTCGACACGAGGGATTCTACGGCCCAATGACATCGCAGGATTGGATTTGTCTCTTTCCCGCGCCGGTCTCATGCAGTGTTTGCAGCGATGTGGTCGGAGCAATTTCAAGGGTCCGATCCATGTAGCCGGTCGAGTTTGTTGAACCCCCCAAGCCCAGACGGCTCACTTCCCAAAGATGCTGCAAGCAAGGCACGACCTCAAACTCTAAGCCCTAAAGCCTAAACCCTGACACCTGAAACCAAAACCCTAAATCCTGCACAACCGGTCACTGCGACGCACTGCCTTCGCGGAAAGCCGTGGCCAGGAGGCGAAGAGCTTCGAAGACCGCTTCCAGGACCTTCGGCTTGTCTGGCCTGCTATGATGAGCAGTGAGGTAAACCCTATGCCCTAAAACCACTAAACCGTCGTCTGCCTAGAAATATCCCTGGCATCGAAGGGCAGACAGAAATCCCATTACTTCTGTGGCTTTCCGTGTCGTCTTCCCTCACGTTCGAAGATATTCCGGTAACGGACATTATAATCACATTAGTGTTATTATTGCTATTACTACCACTATTATTACTCTTAGTACTACTGCTCTTCCCAGTACTGTTATAGGATATTTTGTGTTTATCATTCATTATGGCCATTCCTTAGCATTTTTAGTGTTGTCGTTGTTGTTGCGGTTGTCATCTCCATCTTATGCTCTCATCATTATCACAGTGATCGTTCTTATCATATCGGTGTTCCTACGGTTATTGCTATGTTTTGCTGCGGGTGGTGCTGCAGATTTTTTTGTTTTATTTGTTGAGGCGGGGGGAGCTGCGGAGCGTGGTATGCCCTTTCAGGAGCTGGTCGTTGGAGACTCGAAGAGCTCCCTGGCCAGATTTCGCTGAGCTCAGTGGCTCCTCAGGCCTAGGCCCACAACCCCACACCTCTGAACCCCAAATCCCTAAACCCTAAGCCCGAAACCATAGTCTAACTAACAAAGCCCGGGCATGAGCCTTCTGGCGATTCTTGCGGTTGAATAAAATAGTTCCAATGGGGACGGAACCAGTAACGATAGCTGTTGGTAATGATAATCACAATACCAAGAATAGCAACGATACTCGGAATGGTAATAGCAGTAGCAGCAATTCTAGTAGTAGTAGTAGTAGTAGTAGCATCAGCAGTAGTAGTAGTAGTAGTAGTAGTAGCAGAAATAGTAGTAGAAGTAGTAGTCGAAGTAGTAGTAGTAGTAGTAGTAGTAGCAGTAGTAGTAGTAGTAGTAGTAGGAGTAGTAATAGTAGCAGCAGTAGCAGTTGTAGTAGGTGTAGTAGTAGTAGTAGTAGTAGTAGGTAGTAGGTAGTAGGTAGTAGTAGGTAGTAGTAGGTAGTAGTAGGTAGTAGTAGTAGGAGTAGGAGTAGGAGTAGGAGTAGGAGTAGGTAGTAGCAGTAGTAGTTAACAGCAATTCTAGGAGGAACAATGACAAGGGAAATGATACTTAGAATAGTGGCGAGGCGGCGGCTGCTGCTCCTGCTATTTGTACGACGACGACCTACTACTGTTCACTACTACTGCAACCACGACAGCGACTACCACCACGAGCGCTATTACGGATACTCCTACTACTACTACTACCACCACTACTACTACTACTACTACCACCAGTACTACTACTACTACTACTACTACTACTACTACTACTACTACTGCTGCTAACGGCTGCGGCTACGGCTACGGCTGCGGTTACGGCTACGGCTGCGGCTACGGCTACGGCTACGGCTAC